CTTATAAATTTTTATTACCATAATACAAATGAAGTATATTTGATTTGTTAACTGTTTATTTTTAGATGAAATTTTAGGAGAGAGAGAGAGAGAGAAGGAGAGAAAAAAAAGAGTTTTTTTTTTTCTTACTTCAGCATTCTTTTCATATTAGATAGAGTTTGAAATAGGATAGTTAGATGGACTGAAATATCAAAACTATGTTCAATTTTAAATTATTTATATTTAACATAGTGTGCAGAATTACTGTGAATAAAAGTTAGTTATATTGTAGTTACAATCCATTTTATTTAAATGAATGATTAATTTAACATTTTAACGTTTTAATTACAGCACGTCATTTAAATGAACCATACTTATCAACGAACGGAAGTGTGCCAACTGGTGGACCGTCATTAAAATCACGTTACGTTACGTCACTTTATTTTACACTCTCAACAATCACCTCAATTGGTTTCGGCAATGTTTCTGCTACTACTGATTCTGAAAAAATTTTTACTATTATTATGATGATTTTAGGATGTTAGTTCTTTCTTTTTTCCTTTTTTTTTTTTTTCTTTTTTTCATCTGACTTATTTGAATTAAAAGTCTGAAGTATTAAAAGCAACACAATAGTAAGTATATGAAATTTTTGAATTTAAATTTGATTATTTTTTTTTTCATTTAAGGATTTGATTTTTGAAATTTTAGCATTAATGTATGCATCTGTATTCGGCAATGTATCAGCAATAATACAACGCCTATATAGTGGTACAGCAAGGTATCATACGGAAATGTCTAGGTTACGGGAATTCATCCGTTTTCATCAAATTCCAAATCCTCTACGACAAAGGTTGGAGGAATATTTTCAACATGCCTGGTCTTATACCAATGGTATCGATATGAATACCGTAAGTGTACCTTTACTCTTTTTTTAAAAAAAAAAAATCTATTATTTAATTTTAGAAATTGTTGATATTGTCATATCAGTATTACATCTATCATAATAATTCTATGTTTTTTTATCAGTAAAGTTTGTTTTTTTTTTTTTTTTGATTTTTTTTTATTTTCTAATTTTGATAATAATTCTGAAATTATTGGCAGGTATTGAAAGGTTTCCCAGATTGCCTTCAAGCAGATATATGTTTGCATTTGAATCGAAATTTGCTCAACAATTGTCCAGCATTTGCTGGATGTTCACCTGGCTGTCTGCGAGCCTTAAGCATGAGGTTATTTTGCGCCTTATATTTCATTAATTCATTGATCAGTTCTGTGATATTGTTTGTAATTTTTCAAAATTAAAATTTGAAATATGAATAGAACAAATTAATTTACAATGATTATTCATCAAATATAGCTGAATTGATTATATTATTATATTACTATATTTTGATATAACTAAATTATTAAAATAATATCTTCTCTGTGCATTTCTACATTTCTACACATAACAAAACGAAACAATTTACAGGTTTCGAACAACACATGCTCCACCAGGTGACACCCTGGTGCATCGAGGTGATGTTCTCACTGGATTAAATTTTATTGCCAGAGGTTCCGTGGAAATTCTCAAAGATGATATGGTTGTAGGTATTCTCGGTATGTTAGTTTTTAGCATTTTTTTTTTTTTTTTTAATAATTAGATAGCATAATTAATATATGTAATTTCTTGTTCAAATATTTTTAGTAAATATTTAAAATGATTTAACTTCTTTTTTAAGTGTCAAATTTTAGGAAAAGATGATATCTTTGGGGAAAATCCGTTGCTACACGAAGATGTCGGCAAATCATCATGCAATGTTCGGGCCTTAACTTATTGTGATTTGCACAGGATATTACGGGATGACTTGCTTGATGTGCTTGACATTTATCCGGAATTTGCTGAAAATTTTTGTCGCAATTTAACTATTACATATAATCTAAGAGACGTTAGTTTCTTTCTTTTGCCTTTTTATTATTTTTTAAATTATTTATAAAGTAGCAAAAAAGTGGGGGTAGTAATAGTATTTTCAAATATTTATTTTTTTTATGACTTTATGAAAAAATATCTTTCTTAAATTAGCATTTATTTAAGTTCCTTTTTTTTTCTTCATATTCTTTCCTTTCTTCCTGAAGTTATGATATTTAACTGATTTAGGAAGCTCAGTCAATGAGGAAACGACTTGACAGACATAAACTTTTACGAATGTCATCATCGTTGGACAAAGACAAAATATCTTCAATCCAACGAGAAGGTTACAAAATAATGAGAAACTTGTTCAACTTATGTTTAAATCATTTTATTTGATAAATTTCATTTATTTATCTCTAAATTTCTATTAGTTAGCTGTAATTAATTTGCTAAGCATTGATTCGAAATAAAACGAAAGAGGAAAAATCTTAAGGGATAAAAAAAAAAATTGAAAGAAATGAAAGAAAATGAAATAATAGGAAAACAGAATACATAATCAAAAACAAAAGGAATTTATGAAATTTGTTTGAAAAAAAAAAAAAAACGCACAACATTTCTTTATTTCTGGAACGAAATTCTTCACAGTGAATTATTTATTATTTTAAAAAGTTTAACAAAAAGTTTTAAAAATTCACGATTCAAAAAAGTATGCCCATTTAATTAGAATGGAATTGAAATATTTTTAGGTTCGTTAGAAAAGAGGGATGATTTTGTAACCCGAACCGAGCGAACAAGTTAGTATTAGGCTTATTCTATAAAGAAAATCTAATAGTTATACTAATTTGAAACATTTCATATTTCAAATATTAGTGATTTAATAAAACTTAGATAGCTTATTTGTTTAATTAAATTATGAAAAATTGACAAGTGGTTGTTGCTAGCATCTTAATAACTAGTACAGATGTCTATAAATATCTCTCTTATTGTTTTATTAAATATCTTTAAACCATCAATAGTTCAGTCAATTATTTGAAGATTGAAATAGGAGTGCATTTGACGTACGATCACGTCACTATGTCAGATATTCATGAAATGACTGAATAGTCCCAGCAATTCATGAATAAATTGCTGTCTGTAATGGATATATACTTAGTTTGTTGACAGTAAGCGCTGCAATCATATCGTCGACGTGTCGAAAGGACTTCACTGATAAAGAAAGATAAGAAAGCTTATCACAAAATTGTCAACAATCCTGTGTTAGGCAATCAGTGTTTTTTCTTCTAATTTCTTGTTAATTAGCTTAAATTGTCAGAAGGAAAAGTGTCACAGAATTTTCTTGCAATCTTCCTTACATTTAAAAAATGCATAAAATAAAATGAGTATTTTTGTATTAAATTTTAAGTTCTTCTCTACCTTCGATAAACTTACAAAAATTTATCAATCTGTTTAATTTATCATGCATTGACAAATCAAATCCATCAATGACATTCTATACTCACCCATAAAGGCTATATTTCTTCCATATTCAGAGATTTTCTCATTTATTCATTTATCGAGATTTGATAGATTTCACTTCTTTTATCTCTTTCGTTACTTTTTTTGATGAGTGATTACTATTTCTAACCTTCAATATCCATCTATTATATTTGTTCGAATTCCGCGATTTATTGCTAAACTTATATGACAAAAAAACTTTTGATAAAGCGTTCTAACATTTTAGAAAATTACTTATCAGAAATAATGTTCTCAAAAAATTTCCTGAAATTTCTCTTTATTCATTTCTAATTTATCAGGGAACTTCTAATTTTCAGTGAGTAATCGTTCCGAGGACGATGATATTCGTTATCAGATGTTGGAAAGGAGACTTAGTGATATTGAAAGGTGTGGATGTTATTGCTCTTTAATTTATTTATTTCTTTGAATTTTTCAGTTTTTTACTCTAAAGACTTAGTTAAATTTGATTTCAAATTAAAATTTTTCCAGTCCAATAATTATTTTAATTTTTGCAGCCATCTGGAGAAAATGGAAAATAAAATCAACAGCAGCCTTGAACAAATTTTGAGGGTTTTAATTCCGGAAAATGCATTAATTAATTCATCTTCCGGTCGTTCATCAAAGGGTACCTCTGTTCGAACGATTTACTCATCTCGTAGTGCCTCAGGAATTCATCCAGTTAGGGTATCTAAATACATAACTTTTCTAATCTAATGCTATGATCCTAGACCTGTCAAAAAAATTGCTACCGGAATTTCCTAATATGCTGAAATATCAAATGCATAGACGTAAATTGATTCTTTTAATTCTTCATTGCAATTTAGTTAATAGATTTAAACAGCAAATATTTTTCAAAAATTTGAAGTTTCTTTCAAATTAATGTAATATAAAATAGTCTTCATTGCAGTTTTTATTGGAAACATTTCATAAGAAGAATTCTGATATTATTTAGACATTAACCTTTAACGTTTAATCATTTACTTTTTTTTATTAATTTGCATAATTTGCAGTTGGGAAACAGAAATGAAGAATTGATACCATTGAGAATGCCAACCAGTTATAGTGGAATAGATGATGTTAATAGTCCATTAATTGGTACTAGTACTACACCTCCAATACTGCTACCAACCACTTCACGCTCACTTCAACCTCGTCGTTCGGGTCATCTCTCATTGGTCTCTGCTCCATCGGGTCAATCAACACCAACCAGGTCTGAACTATCACCTGAAGATACTGATACATTGTTGTAGCAGTAACTAAGATTACGGTTTCATCCTTTATCTTCCTTTCATTTCATAAGAAATTTTTTTTTTTTTTTGTCAAATTTCTTTTTTAACATCCTCATTTACTTCCTGCTCCTTTGAAATCATCTCATTGTATGTAATAGCGAGTTTTATGCTCAATTAGCATATCATAACACAAATATTCCACCATTCATCCTTTTCAACTTATCATTTATACAGTAATAAATCAATCTTCCGATCTATCCGATTTCCTCTCTCTCTTAAAAAAAAAAAAAAAAGAAAAGAAAAAATCGATTCTTTCAAAATTCAAAACAAAAGTATTCATTTTTTTTTGTTGATGTGAAATGATTATTCTGAACTGAAAAGGAAAGAAAGATATTGAAATAATAAATTGCTTACAAATTATAACTATTTGTGTTGTGGTACACAATTGATAATTCTCTTTTCTCAGGGGATCTATGTCGTCCCGGTATCCCATTATAATTTTTTACCATGCTCTTCTTTTTCATTTGTTTTATGAAATCTAAAATTTAAATTTATATTGTTCTGATGTATTCATTAATTTTGAGTGCAAATGATAGTACTATATGATAATAGATCGCTTCACTCCGGTGCCGTCTTACTTTTTTTTTTTTCTTTAAAAAGTTTAATTTGGATCATTGCTAAATTATTATTATAGAGAAATTGTTTGTTTGTTTGTTCGTTGGTAGTATTTCTGCGCTAAAAAAACGAAATAAATAGTAAAGGAACACATATATAATCACTAAATTGATTTTAGAGAGAGTTTTTTTTTTCAGTTAGGAATGAAATAATTTTAAATAATGCAATCCAATATCTTAAAATTTTGGAAATTGAATTCAAAACATTCAAGTTTTTTAGTGTTGAATTAGAAAATAGAAAGCGAAATCTTTCATTGGAAGAAATAGCGCAAACAAGTTGCAGCAATGCTTTTTTAGCATTTTAAATTTAAAATGATCTCGTTATTCTCTTTTTCTCCTTCCCTCGCTCTTGCTCTTTCTAGATTATCCTGAAATTTTTGTGTATTTCTAAGTATACCAACCAAACAGATGCAGTTTCTATTTATTAAATTAAGAAAAAATAAATAAAATCATACAAATCATTTTAACAAAGTTATCTGTCATAACAGTCCCATGAAGGTTTACTGGATTGAGAATAGAAAGAAGTGATTTCTGTGGTAAAGCCATCTGTTAATGAATGGTTTGTGGAAAAGCTTGGATATACATAGAAATTCCAAACGATTGCGTTGTTTTTTTTGTTCTACCTGAAAAATTGTAAGAGTGAGTGATTTGATGTGATACTATTATTTGAAATGACATCATGCAAAAAAAAAAAAAGAAAAAAAAATGTTAAAAAATCGAAATGTATCCAAATGTTCTAGCAAATCATTCATTAATAAGTGGCTTTATCAATATATTCGGAAATTCATCACGATCGTTCAGGCAATCGCATACTTTTAAAGTTTTGCTCAAAAAGTAAATAATTAAGTAAATCAACCATTGCATTCCACATTTTTGCTAAACAAATTTTCTGAAAATTATGAAAACTGCAATGATCAGAATCAAAATTACTGTCGTATTGAAATGATTAAATTTTTTTACCAGTAATAAGCTAAATGACAAAGTTCTAAAAAAAAAAAAAAAAATTTCAACTAGTTTCAGAATAATAAAGATGAAAAATAATACTACCACTGTAAAAAATTGGTAATGAGTTCAAAATGTGAAATGGAGAAAATGTGGAATCTTCTTGCAAACTTCATGGATCACCCGACTGATACTTTATTGATCGTAATGAATTATCCCGTTCCTTCTCATTTATTCGAGATTTAAATTTTGAACCAAGCCAATAATTTTCCTGGGAATTATGAAAGCTGCAAAATATTTCAAAATTTCAATTTCAAATTGATCAGGAAAAAAAAACAAAAAATTAAAAGGATGATCGAATTTTATGACTTTCAGGAGGGAATAAGCCTTAGACACCTCACCAATTTATTATTAATCCTTCACGAACATCCTAGATTTTATCAAATTGAAATCCTAAGATCACACAAACTTCCTTGTACCTTACATGTGTGAACATACCAGAAATTTGAGCGGTTGGATAATCAGCTATAACCAAATAATTATTAAAGTCAACAATATGCATTAATTAAGAATGCTATTTCAAATTCACTCACCTCATACTGTCCAAACAAAATGTATGAGACTATATTTACCAAGTGTAGAAGACATTCATGATCATAGATTACTCAATTCTCATACTACTAATGACGATGATGTTACGCATCGCTCATTAGTAAGTTACAAGCCAGTATACAATATACATTAAACTGTCATTGCATTAAAGCTTAATTATTATTTGTATTTCGCTAAATGATGAAATCAATATAATAATTAAACCAAAACAAAACAAGGATGTATGAAGAAAACAGAAGCATAAGCATTCTTACAATAAGATTTTTTTTTTTTACAATTCAATATTTAAAAATGGACAATCGATGTTTGGTTTTTTTCCTTTTTAAAATATTTTAAAGACGATATGAATTCTTAGACAACAAGTAAAACAAAGTGTCGTGCATCTAAAAAATACCATAATTTCTCACCAACAAAGAACACCTTTTTAAAAATCTGTACTTGATTATTTTAAACGCATTTATCTATTCAGCTCAACGACTGATTAAATCAACAAAAATGGTGAGCAGTTATGCTCCAAAACGAGGTAACCGTAGCAGCGGAAGCGGAATAAAGACAAGAATTGGGCTGAACTGAAACTGAAAAAAAAAGTAGTCGTTCATCTAAAAGGGTCTGCATAATAACATAGGTTCTTGCTCATTAGCAATTCACAAACTTCTGTAAGGTACAAAAGAATATAATAAGATGGAATAAAAAATGAAAATAAAGACTCACAAAAGACAACCACGATTAAGTTAATGAGAAAATACAAAAAGAGAGTGAGGCATATATTAATCATAAAAGCGCCTAAAGCGATTTCCTGATGTTTGGTAAAAAATGATCTAAAAGTAAAAGTAATTAAAGTTTCGAATATGACCTGAACTTACCGAAATTTCTAGATAGGAAAAACAAGCAAGTAAATCTCTCCTAAAACTAGATCATCATATTTAGCTATCTTTGCAAAGGAAAATTTTTAAAGATGCGAGAATTTCAACTGCTTTCATTTTCACCATCATCATCATTCTCGTCATCTTCATCATTATTTACTCCAACGATATCCTTCTTCTTCGTACTATCATCATCCTGCTTTATACTTCCATCATCACCATTACCATTATTATTACTACTCTCAGCTTCCAATCGTGCTTCTTCTTCCGCTTCAAATTTTTCCAAAGCAGCCCGTTCTTCCTCATCCAAAAACTTTGGCTCGATAATATGAGCAGCGAGATCCTTCATTAAGCCGAAAGCAAGAAAACGTTTCTTGAAAATCTTCATAAGAGGTCCATCGGGCAACACATAACGTTTATCCTGAAAAACTAATATAACAATTTTTATATTGAAACGGAAAGAATAAACGATTACCCATTTCCGATTTACGATTCAAAAAGGACTTCAGCGTCGGTCGCATGAAATCGGAACTTTTGTAACTACTTAAATGAGGGCAACATACTTTTGGATCAAGTAAATTATTGCTCCGAAAATATGCCCACATTGCTTTGATCACATCACAGCGTCGCATGTATCGCTTACCACATACTGCAGCAAGATCCTCTGTCAATGCGCAATAAACATTATATGGACCCTAAGAATAACAATAGTATGAGACTCAAAAAAGAATATCAACGTCATAAAAAATGTGAAACATATAAAAATTTCCATGAAGGAAAAAAAAATGCAAAAATATGAAAAAAAAAAATTTGCAACTTATATATAAAATAGAAATAAAAATGAAAATCGTTAGCCATACAATTCCGCTTTAATCACCTCATCGCATAATGTTTAACCACTCAGTGTACAGGTTCAGTCACTAATATACATTTTGTGTTGAAACAGAAAGAATAAACGACTAACTCATTTTCGACGTTTTTGTTTTTACGTATTACTTTATATTGATTAAATATATGTAGGAAAGAGACATATACCGTTTACTGGGAAGATATTAACAAACTTTACCAAGCAATTAAAACACTGCACTCAATTTGGTCCTAGTCTAAAATACTGCTTTATTGCATAAAAACATCTCTTACTACACTTTAAATCATTGTGATTTTCATAAAAATGTAATAAAAATATGAAGGAGATCCCTCATTACATTCCACAAATCATTTTTCATTTATAAATAGTAAACTTTAGACCTTCTTTTTGCGAGGCTTTGATCCACCTTCAACATTTCCTTTGTTCCTTTTCTTAGTAGTTTGTCTTGTTACCGCTGCTCTTCGCCTCTTTTGACCAACTTCCAGTAATTCTGCTTCTGAATCTGAAGACTTCCGCTTCCTCGTTTCCTAAAATCTTCAGTTGAATAAATCCAAGGTTCGGTCAATATACTGATAGATCTTCATTATGGAAATCTTGATAAAAGCTCACAAAAAATTTTAACCATCTAAACGTAGTTATAAGATGCAAAGCTTTCATTCAGAAGCAGTCCAGAAAAAACAAAAAAGAATTACAGGATGAAAACAAATATACAGACCTTAACTTTCTTTCTTGGTGCGCGGTCTGTAAAAACAACTGCATCATCTGATTCTGAATCCGATTTGTTATTTGTTTCTGCCTTCTGTTTCTCGGCACTATTTCTTTCAATTATCTTTAATAATTCTCAATGAAACAAAAAGTTACTGTAAACTGAGAAGAGAGAATTTCCAGATATCTTAGTGATATCTGGAAATTCTGTCTTCATGTAATAATAGCGCAAAACCATACATCCATTGTGATTTTATCGATTGCAGCTTTATGGTCTGTAAAGTCCACATCGAACGTTTCCTTCAGTTTTTCTCGAATTATTCGACTTGTCAGTTTATCCATCCCTGAAAAATCCAAACAACCTTTCTTAAGTTAAAAATCTACTACGTTTAAAAAGAAGACAGAAATTATTCCACTTTAAATTTCAAGCGGTCTTCTTGAACTTAAAAAATTTGAAATTATATGAAAAAAATGTAACACACCGAACTGTTGTATTTGTCTTGCAACTGCATCCCGTATACGCTCTTCTGCTATCGGCAATCCGATGCTCCCCTTAACATCTACCATTCTTGCAAATGCTCACAAATAAATTTCTGAATGTAAATGGTTGGAATCAAAATGAAAAACAAGTTTCTACAATCAGTTTTTTAAAGCAAGCATATCCAATCTCAAATAATCCATTGACATTATGACCCTTTCAGAGATAAGGCAACTAAAATCAATCAGCCTGAATCAAAAAAAGGCAGCTTAACAGACATTTCACGAATTTATAACATTATCCTTAACATCAATTTGAAAACAACTAGCCAAAAATTGAGAAAGAGCAATTTTGACATTATCATCTTCTAATGATGTTTTTACCACTATTATCTTCTAATAATATTTTATCTCTGCATACCAATATAGAGCAACTAACTAAATCGAATAAAAGAGATAAAGACATAGAATGAACTAATAGCACATTCCTTCCTCATTTCTCATTTATACGCCTTTCATGAGAAATCACTAGCATATCTCACAATTTTCATTATTCATAATTTTACTTAATTTCCAATTTCATTTAAACTTTTGAATTCTGAAGTGCTATCCCAAGTCAATTTAAATCTAATTACGGTTCACTTCAAATATGCCCTCGTTTCGTTGCAATGCAAGATGTCTTCAATACGTGACCTATGAATGATATAGACATGATTTGCAGATGGTGTCACGTGATACATCTGTATACGCACACGTCAGACGAAACGAGAAGGACGTCTCCTCACGTCCCCACGTATCCCTCACAGAACGTATTAAGCAATCCACGCGAAAAGCTAGCCACACCCACAAAACAAGCCATCATTCTAGAACTACATTCAACTTTAGTAGCTTAATATATCTAAAATGTTGAATGGCCGTACGGTAATTGATGGATGGTGAGTTGCCCGTTTATATTGCTGGATGAAAATTGGTAAGTATTATTACTTCTTTAGTGTGTAAGAAACTTCTGGGGCAATTACGGGTTATGACGTTTCCCTTACTTTGATATATATATTAGATGCTAGATCTCTATGGTATTCATCCAATATTTCTTTAGCAAAGCTTTCTACAGCTTTACAGGTTAAAAATAATGGAACTGGATATCGCCAAGCACTTTCAACAATTATTAAATGGCAATGAAAACTTAAAATCGACAGGTCAAGCAGCTATTGAAACGTTAATGCGATGCATTGAGATTTCTAAAGGTTTCTTTTTTTTCAGTGATTTTGTTTTAATTTGCTTTCTCTTATTCATGGATTTGCTTTATTCCTTCGAGAAGAGACAAAAATATGCTTTAAATTTTAGCAAAAACGGTAAATGAACTGACAGATGAATTGAGGAATGCAGTGGTTGCTATGTCAACAACTGACCATAGTATACCATCTATTCGAAGTGCTAGCGAATTATTTTTAAGGTTTGGTTTAACAAATGGTAATCGTAATCAGCCTTATAAAATGTTTTTCTTAAAGCTTTTCTTGAATGTGGTTAACAGTGGGGATAGGATGGACATAATATGCTGTGTGCGATGCAGAATGAAAAAAATGCTTTCAGAAAGTTTACAAGTAGATTAAATCAGATATGAAATGCATTTCTTCTTATTAAATTAACACCAGTAGTTATAGGTTTATATCACTTGCTACACCTGAAGAGAATGCACAGGAATTTAGTATTTTAATGCATAAATACAAGGAGCGTGGAAGTATTTTTATTGAGCGAGTTGAACTGAGCAAAACGCTGATAGCTTGTTTTGCAGTGCCTTTTATTCGAAACAATATGGTAACTTTCTTATCAAATAATTTATTCTTTATCTCCCATTTACTTTAAATATGTTTTCGGATTGGTAACTATTAGTACCATCTCGTCGAAATCTTTTGTTCTGTCTTTGGTCGGGTTTAAAATGACGAAAAGTTTAAAACTCTACTATTTTTATGACTAAACTAAATCTAATGAAGGAGGAGGAAAACTTTAAAATTCTACAAGTTATTAAAGTTACTACTGCTCAATTTTTTTGGTTGTATTGAAAATCTTAAATTTTTAGCGCATACTTACCCATTCATACAGTAAGGTTGTATTGGAAGTGTTGTTACATGCTAGGAGAAATGGCGTTAATGCACATGTTTTCGTTACAGAATCTTGCCCAGATAAATCAGGTAGTTTTGTTTTATTTTTTTTTTTCTAGCAATTCTTCCAAAGTTTGTAGTTTATTTTTATTCATGTTTGATGGACATTGCGTTAGCTTGCTCTTTAATCATTACAAATTGTGTGATATAAGCTTCTGTCGAACTAACAGGTGATCTTCAGGTAATGTTATGATTAAAGCATTAAAAGATGCTGGAATTCACTGCACATTAATATTGGACGCCGGAGTTGGGTATACTTTAATTCATGACATTTAAATAGTTGGATATTCGTTTCTTTTGGATGTGATTTGCGTTATTTTTTTGTTAATAAATATGAATGTAGCGGTGTAACTATCAAAATATTGTCTCTTACAGCTGAAAATAAAGATCAGGAATGCTGAGACTGATAATTTGACATGCAGTATTTGAGATCATAGTACTTACTATTCTTTATTCTAATTAAAACTATCATGATTTATTTTCTTGGCTCTACAGAAACTCCTTACACTGGGTAGGAAAGTTGAGTGTAGTTCATTAACAAATCTTAGAATACTATATTTTCTAAAAGTTAATGGTTCTTTATTCCAGTTAGAATTATAGAATATTGTAGATATATAATGGAAACAATTGATTTGGTAATGGTTGGTGCAGAAGGTGTTATGGAAACTGGTGGTATCATAAACAAAATTGGTACACATCCGTTGGCAGTGTGCGCGAAAGCAATGCATAAACCATTTTTTGTTATGGCGGAAAGTATCAAATTTGTGAAGGAATATCCTTTAAATCAGAATGATATACCTATTGAATTCAAGGTTTGACTTGTTTTTCTTTTTTGTTAATCATTTCCCTAGTCGTTCTAGAGAAATTTTGTTGTTAATTTTTTTCATTGATTGTGTTTTTTCTTGTGTTTAGATTTTTGTTGATTTTTTCGGATTATCTATTCCGACGAAAAATGGTACAAATCTTCACCATTCGTTTAAAGTTTGAATTAATTGTTAATGTGATCTTCAGTATGCGGCTTCAACTTTGACAAAACATAAGTTTGACGGTGATTTTTCAAGTGAGCATCCACTTGTCGACTATACTCCACCACAGTATATCAATTTGCTTTTCACCAATCTTGGTATTTTGACACCTGCGGCTGTTGGTGATGAACTTATTAAACTATATGTATAATGTGGTTATTTTTATTGCCAACTAGGAAATTTTTCTCTCAATTCTTATGAGTTACAAAAGCATATCTTATCAAATTTTCTAATAGTTCTTTTGCAATAGGAGCATCGTTTTTGCTATTAATACATTTTACGTTCCTGATCCATTTCACTCTTAATTATTCGGCATATCAAATTCAGTGATGATTTTCTTTTCCTGATGAAAAGGAATTTTGAAATAATCACTAATTTTTATCAATAGATTTCTATCCATTAAAGCATCGTGTTAAGTAATTGACTTGAAATGAAACAACTAAGTTAATAGCAGAAGCAGTCAAAACGGCTAAATCAAATGCAAATGTGTAAAAATCCGTTAAGCGAATGTTTTTTTTTATAATCAAATCCGATCAAAGTTTGCCTTCTAACAATAAGTAAACCTTTTTTCGAGAAAAACCGTTTATACACAGAGTAAAAGAACCACTTGGGAAAGCCGATAATCAATGAAAAGCAATCTTATGCAGGAATGTTATGCAAATTGTTGTTTCATCCTTACCACTTCTTATATATGTATATTTATGTATAATGGTTTGCGTTTTTTAAGCGTGTATACAGATCTCATACCGTTTTTGTTTATGAGACCTGCATTTTTAATTCATAAATGCTATATGTGTTGATACAGATAAAAGAAATCTTTAAATGATTATTTTTCTAAAACGTAACACTGAACAGCTCAAGTTTATCAAGCAGTATTTATCAAAATCACACATTGATGATTTATTCGGTTAAATTGCTTATCCTGATGAAAAAGAATTGTGTGTTTGGAGAGATGTTCTTAATATGTTATGAAGTAGGAAGCATAGTTCAAGCAATAGATGATCGAAACATTCATTTTAAAAAAGCAACTTTTCTTGTTATTCACATGGTTAACTTTAATTCCTACACGGAAAAATTAATTGGACATTTGGCACAGCTGTGGTATCTTTGAAAGTGAATCTCGGCATAAGTTCGATATAACAATCAGTTGAAATGTGTTCCTTTTGCTGCACTGCATGGTTATTCGACAGCCACAGAAAGGTGGCTGAATATTTCGATCCTTGGTGCTAGTAATTTTTCGAGTCACTGCATTACTTTTATATTATTATGAAAGGAATTTTGTGATATTATGCTACGATGAAAAATTAGTGACTTAAATTGACGACCTGAAACATAGCTCAAACTACAACGTTCCCTATCGGAGTAAATGATTCGGATGTCTAGCTTTCTTAATTTACAAAAGTCAGTTTTTCCGGTTGACCGTTCCTTTTTTTATAATCAATTCTTCCTTTACTCCAATCATCCTCTCTTTCCAGCTCAATTGCTTAATTTATTTCGATGTGAACCAACAATAAGGACAATTGATTGGCTTGGTGGATTTCAAAAATATAATCCTTGAATTACCAGTACTACTTTTTTCGAATTAATTGAATTGACAGAAAACGGAAATGTCAAACTGATGTTGATTATAAAAAAAAAAAAGTAGCATACTTGTTAGATGATGTGGTAGAGGTGTACTTTTCATTTTCCTTTATGAACAATCGCCAATAAACTATTAAAATGGAATGTACAGTAAGCATAAAACGAGTAACAAACAAATAAATAATGCAAAGAAATGAGAAACGAAACGAATGTGTTGAAAGGAATTTTAGATTAAAACTTTATCAAATAGCAAATATATGTGAAATGACGAAAAATTTTGAATGTTAAGCTTCCTTAAAGATTGATGAGTAAACAAAACCACTGTTTGTCGCTTTTTCGAAAAAAAAAAGTTTAACTTGAAAGTCTTGAAGCTTAATCAAGTATGATGGAAAGTAAACAAAAAAGAATAATGAGCAAATGATGCAATCACATTCCTTTTTTATCCACCCTAATTAATTCTTTGCTAAGAAAAAAGCAATATGGTTTCTTGCATAATGACTTTTAAATGAACTAAGCCAAACTGTAACAATTCTCATGGATCTAATATACTCAGCTAACTTTTCAAATATTTTCACTTCCTCAAAATTTGAAAATTTAATGAAAAACCGTAGAAGTTATCATTTAAAGCATTTCAATGATTTTAAATATAAGGCAAACAATTAATTTAGTCATATTAATTTAATACTTTTTAGTTCAGTTGTTGTACCTTTTTGGAAGAGTAAACTGTCAAAGCAATCACTACAGAGTAATCTAAATTAACGCCAACAAAAGTATCTTTGCCTGCAATAAGTAAGAATTTGAAATTCGTCTTGAAAATTTTTCCTGAAGAAATTCATTTACGCTTTAAGATTGCTTAGATATTTAAAATCATTGAAATGCTTTAAATGATAATTTCTACGGTTTTTGTACTGTTCCAAATTCCGAGGGAATATTTGAAGGAATGAAAATATTTGAAAATTTAGCTAAGTATATTAGATCAATGAGAATTGTCTTTTCTTCATCTTTTTGATTTCTCTTTTTTCTCCTTTTTGACCCCACCACAGTAACTCTTTCTCTTATGTTGCACACAAGCAAATCAACAGAGAAGGGGTCAATCAATTTGCCCTCTTGCACAAAACTAACTTTTCTAGTGGTGCATGACAAATGCGCTCCTATGGAGTGTGTATAAGGATCAGACCTAGCAATTGTCACGTCTCTCTTCTACTCCTCAACCTGACAAGACCGCCCCGCTAAGATTATACATGCAAATTTTGGATGAGATAATACTTATTTGCGTGCAAAAGAACAAAAAGATATAATCAAAAAAGAGGAAATTCTCGACGTATGTGCGTATATCGTTGTTATGCGAGAATTGTATGAGAATTTGTATCATTGAAAGGATTGTGGATTTGCAGAAAACCTGAATCCTTTCTTCCTGTCAATTCCAGAAAAATAATTTCATATCATTTAGATAACGACGATCCTATGCTGATTTATGGATTTATAAATGACTGTGAGTTTAGACTGCAAATGACTAAACGTATGCAATCTTTTTCTTCTCAAAATCTGAAAAAACAAATATGAAATATTTAAAGAGACTAAATTGCATAAATTCATTTATCATATTTCTTTCATTAGAAATCAAATTATCAAAACAACAAAATGCTTCGCTTGAAGCAGTTCTAAACAAAATATTGCAAATCATTATTTACCGATGAAGGTGGTAAAAATGTCTCAGATTTGTTGGTATTTTTGAACTTATTCAATCAAAGCCATTTTCCAACCTGAATCTTCACTTCATATCTATTTCCAACCTGAATCTTCACTTCATATCTATTTCCAACCTGAATCTTCACTTCATATCTATTTCCAACCTGAAACTTCATATCTATTTCCAACCTGAATCTTCACTTCATATCTATTTCCAACCTGAATCTTCACTTCATATCTATTTCCAACCTGAATCTTCACTTCATATCTATTTCCAACCTGAATCTTCACTTCATATCTATTTCCAACCTGAATCTTCACTTCATATCTATTTCCAACCTGAATCTTCACTTCATATCTATTTCCAACCTGAATCTTCACTTCATATCTATTTCCAACCTGAATCTTCACTTCATATCTATTTCCAATCTGAATCTTCACTTCATATCTATTTCCAACCTGAATCTTCACTTCATATCTATTTCCAACCTGAATCTTCACTTCATATCTATTTCCAACCTGAATCTTCACTTCATATCTATTTCCAACCTGAATCTTCACTTCATATCTATTTCCAACCTGAATCTTCACTTCATATCTATTTCCAACCTGAATCTTCACTTCATATCTATTTCCAACCTGAATCTTCACTTCATATCTATTTCCAACCTGAATCTTCACTTCATATCTATTTCCAACCTGAATCTTCACTTCATATCTATTTCCAATCTGAATCTTCACTTCATATCTATTTCCAACCTGAATCTTCACTTCATATCTATTTCCAACCTGAATCTTCACTTCATATCTATTTCCAACCTGAATCTTCACTTCATATCTATTTCCAACCTGAATCTTCACTTCATATCTATTTCCAACCTGAATCTTCACTTCATATCTATTTCCAACTTGAATCTTCACTTCATATCTATTTCCAACCTGAATCTTCACTTCATATCTATTTTTTCTTTCATTCATTACATCAATATTACTTCATTTTGTTTGCATATTAAATTTCCTTTCGACATTCTACATCATCTTTTCCCTTTTTTTTTTCAACTTATTTCCAAGCCAATTCTTCCATTCTCTATAGTAACAGATTTATTAATCAGCTATAGAGAATTTACTGATTTATTCGATAGCTCAAGAACTTTAAATATAAGTTGAAAAATAAGATCAATTTTAAAATTTACATTTCGAATACAATGAATAAAGAAGAGATGTAGCTGAAGGAACAATTCAGGTAAGCATTCAATTTTTTCAAATTTCCATGAAGTAATCAACTTTTCCATCAGCACGAGAAATTGATTTTATCATCTAAGAAAAGGGTAACCGTTTGAAAATAATCATTTGAAGACGAAAAAGAAACATGTTATCATAAGAAACATAACACATTGATCCAAAGTATCACTGGAAAAATACTGATATTCCGCGAATTGTGTTCTATGGTATTAAATAATAGGTAGGACAGAGAGAGAGAGAGAGAGAGAGAGAGAGAGAGAGATTTTACTGTTGAAAGAAAAGAATGAATAAATTGATCATCTTTATAATCTATATTTTATGAATGAAATGATATTAAACAAAATAAGAATTATTGTATCAGAAAATATAAAGATGATGTAGAACAATAAATTAATAAATGGCGTTGAAATGAGTTAAGCATTTTGTGTGTGTGTTTTTTTTTTTTTTACAGTTAAAGATGAAAGCTATCATTGTAATGAATGTGATCAGCGTAATCAATGTGATACATGATTAAGCGTATACGAACAAAGAAACGGAAATAACCGAAATGCGAATTAAACCGAAAACGAAATTCGGGAAAGCATGATGAACAGGTAATTCCACCATAAATAAGATAAATCGAAGTGATTAGTCAATGACTGATAGAAAAACTACATATTTAGCTGGTGGATAAATCTGTTAATGTTTCAGTTATGATTAATATGCGACAGATATCAATACAGAAAAGTAGGATTTGCTTTTACAGAATGAATTAGTAATTTAAATGTGAAAAAAAAAAACTAATAATTTATTGATCAGTTTATTGTGTCAGTTTTATTTAAGTCATTAACAGGTTTATATCATTAATATAATAGACCTGAAATATATTCAGGTTATTGCCACAAAATGCTTTTTTCATTTATGCAAATCAAGTAATATAAGCATATATCATATCATGTAAAATTTGACATTTTTTGGGCAAGATAAAATTGAATATAGATGGTATAATGAAAGTTATATTTAAGAATTTTCAAAAAATAAAAAAGCAATTTTCAAAAAAAAAAAAAAAAAATTGAGGGATAGTGTTTGAATGAACTGTTAGATAGTCTTTTAATCATTTATTTTGATCAGTTTATTATTCTGTTTACATTGAGTCAAAATTATTTTAAAAGAAGTCACATTTAATTTTTCTTTTCATTTTTTGAAATAAATTACGTAACATACTTCAAAACATTGAAAAATTTTGAAAAGAATTTAAGATTTCAAATCAAAAAAGTCATAGCTGTAAATTAGGAAGAAGTTTATAATGTTTAAGTGGTACATTTGTCAATTTTACAAATCAGAAAATACCAGAAAGGAAAACTAACTACCATTATTGTCATCCAAAATGTGACAGCACAATTCTTTAATATGCCCAAAATAATTTTTTGCTTTTTTTTTCGAAAAAAATTTGAAAAAAAAAACTTAAACTTTTATTCAAATTTTATGTGATAATTAAAATTATTTTATTTATTAAATTGTTTCATCTGTAGTTAAAATAATTACGGCAGGATAATTCAGAACTCGATGATTAATTAGGAATGTAATCAGTAGAAGACAACTGCTAAGGTTATATGATCAAACACTGATTAAACTCAAACATTATATGATTTCATTTTTCATTCAAAAAATATATTTTAAGAGAGGATCTCTATTTTATTATATATTTATCATGATCGATCCACAGAAATATTTTTTGTCACATTTGTTAATTTTGGGCAAATAAATGTAACTTTCTACTCAACCTTTGTTATTGTGGTACTTAAAAATGAGTGAAGATCCAAATACTTTTACATATAATAATTATCTTACACATTTATATTGATAGTAATTAAGGAGTAGAATGGCGAGGTCAAATGTCAAAGTTATGGAGGGCAAATGTCAAATTTATCTTGTTGATTTTTCTACTATTTCTTGATTTTAAACTCTTTTCATTCCATTTTAAACTGATAATTTATCACTGAGATTTTAAATGTCAAAAAGAATTTTAAACGATTTTAAGATGTTTTGATTTTTTCTGTTTGATTAAATTGTGCTAAATTATTTTCGATAAAACAGTAAGGCCAGTTGCTCCATTGTGGTACTTGAATTAATTTAAGAATTTAGGGAAAGATATCAATCAAGAATGTTAGAATTAAACAATATTAGGAACAATTGATATAGTATTTGCTGTCTTTTTATTCAAAAATTTTAAATTGCAGACATACTGATTATCTCAAATCTCTTATTAATACACCAGTTCTAATTTTAATCCACATGTACCTGTGATTATGTATTTAAATTTAAATTTCACAGCTATTAAATTTTTAAACTTCAAGCATATGATGTTCGATTTTCATAAAAATTAAATATCACATTTAAGCTGATGAAAATCACAATTTTTAAAATGTCACCTGTAACATTATTTATTCAGGTACAATTTCTCCCAGTAGTGAATGATTATCAGATAATCACTGCTTACTGCACTCATAAACTGTAACTGAAACAGTTAGCGTCATAAAATACGAACACCAACTTTATATGCCATCCTATAGAATCCCATATTTCGCTATTTCAATCATTTCAACAGCTGGTAGTATTCCTATTGCACTTATGTATTACAGTACTGTGACAATTTTCTACTCCAAAATTTCCGTTTGCAAAATTCTATGGTTTATTAAGAACATTCTCAAGGTTCATATAAACAAAACTTGCAATGAACATTACTGAACCTTTTAAAGATCGAACATGAAATTCCAAAAAAAAATTTAAAACTTCTAGGTAATTTAGAAAAAGCACTAAAAGAAAGGCTTCGTAACATATCATAACAACAGATAACAATGAATCATTGCAATGGATGCTTATGAAAAAGTCGAGGAAATAAAAGTTTAAAATATGCAAATATCATATACGTGAAAATAGCTATATCCACAGTGGTGACATTTAAAAATATTGCACAAGAATCTTCATTCAACTAAAATATTACTCAACAGAATAAAAAGTATAAAATATTACACAATTATGATGAAAGTATGAGTGTACTGTAAGATGCATGAGAAAACAAATCGATACTTACAATTAGAAAAATTAATATAATTTGAACTCTGAAGACAGTAAAGTGAATAGCACCAGTAAAATATAAAAAGCTAACCTGAAATCAAATTTGAGTCTTAAATTCCTAATTTTTATTTTTATGCATAGCTTTTAGCAGCGACACAACAAATCATATAAATTATTAAGCCGTTTTAAATTAATTAATTTACATAGCATTTTTACGTCGCATTTCTCTTAATATACATACATTTGTTTCTTGGCACTTCCTTAAATTGAAATCGGTTATGCCTAAAGTTAATGGTTGCTGCTTTTGAAAGTAATCTAAGCCTCGACCAATGCGATAGGTCCAACCATTGTCAAATCTGAAAGGAAAAGTGATTTCAGTTCAACAGAGATTACTTCCGGATGGTAACATGAAAATTCGAAAGTGGCTAGCTTTCATGATCTAAATTCTAAATGCCACGGAAGACTCATAATGGACTATGAAAAAATGCATTAACTGAAAAAGATAAAAATAGTCCCATTATAACTTACAAATAAGACAACCCTTTTGCAATTAATGAAAAAAATTCGAAATACTGGGTTTTGTGCCTAAAACACACATAAAAGTACGACCTAATTTCCCGATCATGCATGGTACCGCTACATTTCACTTTCAAAACTACATTTCGTAACATAAGATCAATCCTCAGCTGCCCCAACTGTAGCCACAGCTCGTGCAAAGCAGTTTGTTCTGCCTGCGTACAAAGCACAATTTCACGAAGATTAGGTGCTCCTGATACCAACAACTCGCAAAATGCAACTAAATTTGTAATCTAAAATGAGGGAATTTTATAATCTTTCTCTAATAACAGTGCCAAACTACCGCTTAATAAAAAAATGTTATGTTATGAGAACTACCAAGTCTAAACTCACATTCGATTCACTACAGCATGTGATCTAAAGCCACTGAAAAGATACTTTTGTATATATAGTCAGAACGATGAAAAGCTATTTCAAAATAAAAACAAACTAAACTCTAAGCAAAGGCAGCAAATATTTCAAATTCTTGTAAACAATGTTCAAATCAAAACAGCTGAGAAGAAAAAAAGTTGAAATGTTGAATAAAGTTTTGAAATTTCTGATTTTTTGAAAAAATTTTTGATAAATTTTTTGGCTATCCAATAGTAACATTTCTATAACCAAAACCTGTGATTTATTTCGCAAATACGGTTCATCAACGATAACCGACTTCAACCGCTCATCGATGCCATCACTGAAGATCGTATCATAACCAAAACCCGTAGTACCATCTTTGATTCGAAATTCCTTGACTAATTTTAAATTAAATTGCTTCCGTTCTAATAGATTGTCTGATGCTTCAGCTTCAGCGAATACAGCACCCAAATTAAAGCTACCTGAGGAAAAAATTATTGGATAAGGTGACTGCATAATATCTCTATCCTAAAAGCAGAATAACAAGAGCTGATCTCTAAAAATGGGCAATAAAAGTTCTTTTCATTATAAAATTATAAATGTATATGTACGAACTTTACAATTACGAAAACATGTAATTATAAAATGTCCACGTAACAAGCATAAAATCAGGAATTTGATAGAACATAAATGTAAGTTGACCTAAACTGATTAATAGACTAAACAAAGAAAAACAGAATACCGATAGGCCGTCGTTTTTTAGTTGTGTC